CTGCTAGCGTGCCGGGGCGCTCTTGTCAATCAGAGGCCTTCCACGGAATCTTTCCAGTCGCCAGAAAGGCTCTGTGGGCTATAGCCGGGGACCCATATGTTAACTTGTCCGGGCATTCTCGGCTGCTCGGGGGCCCTTTACGTTGGCTTCGGTTCACCTACCGACACACTCGCGATATGCTCATGGGCCCTCTGCATTGGTCTAGGGCGTTTCCAATTCTGTCACTTGCTTAGGGCTCTACGCTCTTGTTGGGGACCCACCTGTTAACCTGCTTATGCACGCTGTCGGTCAGGGCCCTCCAAATTGGGTCAAGGGTACTTTCTATTTGAATGGAGGGCTCAGCACACTTGTCGGGGCCCCATGTGCAAACCTGCTCCGGCACACTGGGTTGTTTAGGGACCCTGCACATTGGGTATTTTAATTTAGGGCCCTACGCTCATGTCAAGGCCATCTGAAAGTCCACTCGGGTGCAGTTGATCTTTCGGGGGCCCTCTACATTGGGTCTTGGGGACATCCTATTTGAATGTGGGCCCTACGCACTTGTCTGGAGTCCCTCTGTTAACCTCTTTGGTCAAAGTGGATTGCTCGGGAGCTCTGCACATTGAGTTTTGGCATTTGAATTTAGGGCCCTGCGCTCCTACCGGGGCCATCTGATGACTTTCATTTCAATGGAGGGCCCTACGCTCTATGCTCTTGCCGCGCCCCATTCTGATAAGCTGCTCGAGCACATTCGATTGTTAGGGGACCTCTACATCGTGTCTTGAGTACTTTCGATTTAAATGACGATTTTGATTATGATTCGAACTTTTGTTGATTTGAACTGAACTTTTGAACTTGATTGAATGAATTGAATGATTTGAACTTTTTGACGATTGTTCGCATTCAGACAATGAAAGGGTGCTGTACCAGTGAGGGCCCCCGGTACCGAACGGTGGGCCCTCCGACCCAGTTCCAGCATGATCCTGTTAAACGGAACTGGGATCAATGTGCCATTTATTAAACCATCTCAGCTCAGCTGAGCGCGCCGCCACGCGCGGACGCGAGTGCTGCCTGCGCCTCATCCACATGTGCTTGCCGATATGTCATGGCAAGCACATGTGGCTGATATTGTAACCAAAGCATCGAAAACTCTATATATGCTCTACATAATGAAAAAGTACCACCCACCACAGGACAGCTTGTTCGTGTGTATGTTGCTCACATCCGGCTATTGCTAGAATATTGTATACCGGTCTTCACGCGGGGCTCACTGCCAAGCAGGCGCAACATCTTGAGAAAGTGCAGAAGAGAGCCTTGAAAATCATCTTCCGCCATTCGGAAAAGTACTCGCATATCTTGCAACGCTTGGGCATGGAAACCCTTGCTGACAAAACAGAAAAGCTATGCCTAAGGCTAGGAAAACAAATGCAAACGTCTCCCATGCATAGAGATCTGCTTCCAAGGCAACGAGTGACGACTTCCGGCAGAAATATCCGGAGCGCAAGCACACTCCAAACGTTTCGCTGTGGTACGCGACTACGCAAGTCAAGTATTCTCCATATAACCACTCTTATAAACACACATATATCATCAACTAAGTAGTATCCTACTTTATATGTATATGGTGCACATGTGCTATATGAGTTGATACCCGAAGCCATGCTTTTCTCAATAAACACAGACACTCCCTCTCTCTCTCTCTCTCTCTCTCTCTCTCTCTCTCTCTCTCTCTCTCTCTCTCTCTCTCTCTCTCTCTCTCTCTCTCTCTCTCTCTCTCTCTCTCTCTCTCTCTCTCTCTCTCTCTCTCTCTCTCTCTCTCTCTCTCTCTCTCTCTCTCTCTCTCTCTCTTTGGGCCTTACGCTCCTGGCGGGGCCATGGCATAACTCGTTCGGGTACACTCCATCTTTTGGGACCCTTCACACTGGGTCAGGCCCGAAGGGTGCAAAAGGCCGGATGGAGGTCGTATTCTGTGTGTGGTGACTTTGAACTCTAAAACGGATGAAGGGTTCGTATGCTCCTGGATTTCAGCCAAGCGCGTTTTGTCCAAAAATGATCGCCGAAAATGGAATTATCTATTTTTATATTGGCATATCGCAGATGTTCATTACATCTCAAACCAATAAGACGTAAGGACTCCCCGACAACGACCACATCCCTCCCTTGTTTTCCACAAAGTTTAGACTTGACACGCGCTCGGGTGGGGGTCAAAGTGACCCCCCAAGGATTATTCCGGAATGATTTCGGAATGGCGCGGCGCAGCCTCGCTGGTCAAGGCCGCTGACCTATGGCAGGTCAAAGTTAGATCACGCTTTCATCAAACTCAATTTTTAGGGAATCGTTAAATCTGATCCAACAACGGAGTGTTAAACGAAGTCATACATCCCTGAGATACTTTCTTAGAATACACAACAATTGAATAAGCAAAATAAATTGACGTAGGGTCAGGTGTGAAGGTCAGACCAAGGTAATAACCAACCGGTTTGATTACTCTGGGGCTTGCTGTATGGGGGTAGTTTCTGGTGTTCATTTCACATTTATTGATAACAGAAACCGCTGTATACAGCGTCCATGGACTTTTTAAAGGTCTGAACAAGTCACTGATCTAACGTAACCCGGATCATCATTTTTTTTTAGAAGCATAGCGTAATCGTTGTTGCTTATCCAAATGCAAAACTCAAAGCAGTCTTGTATGATTTTGGTCGCCAGGACTTTCAAAAGGTTAAACAACGTCATTGATCTCAAATGAGTATGTGACCTTTTGCTTAGTACAGGCATCTAGGTTCTAGAGGTCTTTTGGAGACCAACCTGGAATTTTACCTTGTTTGACCTTATTTAATCCAGAGATCATCGTCTAGAAACCTCAAACTTCGACCTAAGTCAGTTCACGTACAGGTCAACACACTGTGAATTTGGTGTCTCTAGCTCTCTTTGTTCCTGAGATCTCAACGGGTGAAACGGACCCCCATCCCCCTCCCCTCCTCCCACCCGAGCGAAAGGGATCCAACCGGAGACCCGGGTGCGTGTTAATTTCATAGATCCCGCTGTTTTTCGTGCAAATCCTTTGAAACCCATGCTTGCATACATGTCATTGATTGCCCCTCGGGCACTTAGGCCTCGAGATAGGATATTTCACCTGATACTTTTTTAGACCCTAGAATTTGTAACGTCACGGCCTTGGCACCAAACACACGTCTTGATTTAAGTCGGGAAATTATCTAGAAAGATGTATATAGAAGCGGGTGGGCCAATTACGTGTGAGTAACGTCCTGTGATTTTGGCATGAATTCCTCTCATGTGTTCGGTGATGTCATTGATCCAAACAGTCATCTCATTTCCGGTCATAAACTCCCATTGCAGCAAGTTTTTGTCACTTGATACAAGCAAGGAAGGCCAGAAGCTCCTGGTTTTTCGGCTTTATGAGTTGAGTTCAGAGTTTTATGCTGAGTTCAGAGTTTTATTGATATTTACCACATCAGGAGGCGATGGTCAAGCGGCAGTGTCATGCAACTATTAGTTATATTGCCAAACTAATAATATCATAGCGAGCGTTGGCAGTATAACCAATCTTTTTAAACAGACATTTAACTATCGCCTCGATGAAAAAAAACGAACGAATTACGACATAAATCCAACTTTCTGTTTTGAGAAACTTACAAGTGGTACTTAGAAGGTCGTTGACTGTCAGCCTAAGAACCTTGAACTTCATTCCCATGCACATCAAGTCGCAGAGTAAAAGTCATATGCTTTGAAATAGTCAATTACGGCGCATCTCAATTCCTGATATTTCTCCGGACGTTCTCTCTGTATGTCATGGGTCCTACCGGGCTCTGGCTCCAACATGGGCCTTACAAAGGAGAGTATAGCTGGGGCGCACCACATAAATCCCCGTGATGGCTGAACATTCAGCAGAGAGGTGATTAAGCACAACTGCGCGTGACAATGCGCTGACGCTTAAAAATCCCAGGCATCTCGTCTCCATCACCCGTTATTGTTGCATTGTTTTCATTAGTAATCGACACGAGCACGTCACACCAAGCAGAGTAGCTGGAGGCAGAATAGCCGGAGGGGAAAATATTGAATGCGGACGTACATTGCTTGCGTTTCCTGTCAGGTTTGCCACAAGCTCAGCGCACTGAACACGTCATTTCAATCACACATTAGCGGCGCATTGTCCGTAGCTGCAACACGAGAACGAGACAGTTACGAATTAACTGCGAAATTTCGCCGAAAACGCAATGAGCGCCCACTTCTTCATGCTTGGCCTGTGGCGTTTTCAAGCACGACACGTTTGTCATTCATCATCAATGCCTTACTTATTCGGCCAGCAACAACTGGTGTTTAGCGAAGCTGATAGTCGACACCATTTGCCGGGCATGACACTACAGCGCTGATATGACATCAGCATGCTAGGGTGGTCTCATCACTGCGGGACTCTGCTGCTGCTGACCCGATAGCTCCACGGTTAGCTTCGACTTTAGCGGTAGCTGCGGGATCCAAATCATGGGCGCCGGCGGCCCCAATCGTGAGCCGAAAACACTGCGAAGGAACGTCAGGGATGAAAGCCTGTGTCGGTGACTCCGAAGCTTTTCACCAGCACACTCCGACGCACGTTCAGCAGCCTTCCTGGCCGACGAGGCGGGGAAGTTCTCCCCGTTTACTTCGAGCTTCAAGCGTGACAGCGAACCCGTTTACTTAGAGCTTCAAGTGTGACGGCGAACCCGTTTACTCCGAGCTTCAAGCGTGAAGGCGAAATCGTTTACTTTGAGCTTCAAGCGTGACGGTGAAGATGTTTTTGCTCGTGGTCGCGCCGTCGCACCATCCGCCTGTGCCTGAACACGCGACGCGAGCCTTAGAAGCAGCTGAGTGGTCTGCAGCTGGCGGGCAATCCGCCTTTCTAAGCTGGGATGCTTCTCCATGTGCAGCTCTATCGGGGGCGGACTGTGGTTGGATGTCGGTATGCAACATGGCCGACACTTGCTACACAACCGACGCTTGTGAACAATCACTTCAAACGCTCCCCGATGTCCGTCACCGGTTGTGAGTGCACCAGGAGTCCACCTTAGCTGACTGTTGCGAAGCCAGCTTGCTGGCGCCTAGCTGGGTGGCGCCATCCGCGTTGAATTCCTAGCCCGAGCTACAGGTGGCGACAGCGGCATACGATAAATCCGGCGACAAAAGCGAGTGCTTCATGGTCTAAATGCGCTTTATCATCCCAATGTCTAGCCGCCTCCACTGCACCCTGGTTCCTGGTCTTCGATGAGATATGCTAACACGGCTCTAGTCGGCAGAACTACCAGCCTACAAATAAAATATGCTGAAATGTTCGGCCGGTTATCATATTTGAAAAGCGGTCTGATAGTCCGTGTATCTGTCTCGTTCGACTGATATGACCTCCCGCGCCGGCTGAAGGTAACCTGCTAAATTTGCACTGCCAGATCGTCTCGGGATAAAGCCGTGTGGCTCCGTGCACAGTATTGGCGAGACGAGATAAACATAAAGATAGTTGGAGATGAAAATAAAGATAAAGATAGTCGGAGATAAATATAAAGATAAAGATCGTCGGAAACCAGGTGTTCATGCAACGTACCGAAGAGAGAAAGCAGGCGCACTTACCATGAATGTGAGGATACCTCTTGTCATATTTCTTGAAAACAGGAATAATGCTCACCTGATTCCACCTCTCCAGAAAGACGGCAGATCTAACCCCTGAATAGGCTTCAGCGTGCCTGGTGAAGCCCCCGTCCGAGCGGTCAGCCCATGCATCGCATGAGTGTCTCTGGGCGAGCTAAGTCTCGACGGAGGCCCTTAAGAGCTTGTAATATTTTTCCGCCATGATCCACTCTCCTTCATCGCATAGCACTGAAATGGTTATCACTCTCTGAAAGGGCTCCTTTCCATACCAAACCAAAAGATACCATGGCATTCCTGCGAAGCGTTTTGTGCGTAGTTGTCCGCTTGGTACATAGGTGGCAGCACCAGTATCACCGTGCGTTAGGACGAGGTGGTATCTTTCGCTGAACGCAATTTGAGCCCCAGCTTGTGGATTTCTTCACCACATTTGCCTTGCTTTCACCAGTGCACCAAAAACATCAAAATTCTCCCACAGTGACTTGGCACTCATTTTAGCAACAAGTAATCCTTGTTCTGTACTTTGCTCGAGTCGCCACCAGAGCAAACGATCTACGACGAGCTTTAAATCGAGACCATTTTTGCAAATGGTTGCAAAACCGGTGCTTGTGGACGAATATGACCATGGCCACGAAAATACAAACAGGCTACATGACTTCAGTGTTTGCAGGAAGGTGCTGGGAGAAAGGGTTTCGGATTTGGATATGTAATGGATAAACATTCACGATTAACAACGTGTGCAAGTCAAATGTGAAGCAGGCGAGAATGGTTAACAGGCGTCTGTCGTCACTACGGAGTGTCCGAAGTGTGTTTTATAATTGGAAATAATCTGAGATGGTCAAAGATTTTCAAGTGCATTTCAGGGTGTTTTCTCATCAGAGGTTAAGTGTGGACCTGATATGAACATTCAGTCGACGATTTTGCGTAACTCTTTTGGATTCCGGATAGGTACCGCTGAAACCCTAAACATGGGACATCTGCCGATATTGCTAACAACATCTTGTTTACGCAGTTACAGGTACCTAAGGCTTCTCCATATCAACCCAAGTATTCCCCCGTGAGTTTTAGGCTGAAAGAAATGTATGTTGCGCCAAACATGCCCAGCGTTGTGGAGTAATTGCGCCAAGATTTCGACTCGAGTACGCTCAAAATCAGAGTGCTCAAAATTCGGTCCACGGCGGTCGCCACTGATTTAGTGCACGCAGATGCCATGTTTCCAGTCATTAGAATGTTGCAATTACAATTCCGAGCGCAAAATCAATGAAAGAATTGCCAGTTAATATAGAAATTTAGCGATTTCGAACTGAGTTTCGCGCATGCATGTGACAACTCCAGCGCATCGAAGCAACTTAGGCGTCCGGCGCTGTTAATGGAGTCCTTTGCAGACTGGAGCATGTTAAACCACAGTATATGTTTTGACGCTTATTGCCGGGTCACTAAGCTAGCAGTACTTGCTTAAACGGCCTTTTTGGCCTGCGTTTTTTTAATTTTGCTACCGGTCTGCGGGTTTGCGGGCCCAGAGTGACAGTTCCTCCCAGTTTGTCGTTAAAATTGAACTGCGGAGAATAAAAGAAGCATTGTCGTTGCCATCAAACGGTTTCGCTGGGCCAAGAAACCAGGCCTTCCGACTCCTGGCCTCTGGCTTCACCGTTTGACATTTGTTTTCAACATTAAACTAGCGCGCACGGTATAGCTAACGCGCATGCATCGGTCCTGCCCCCTCCGCCGGGCGCTTCGCAGGGGCGTGCCAACGCGCCCGCGGCGGTGACGCCGGCCAGTGGAGGACCCAGCGGGACGTATTCTTCCGGCGTTGCCCGAGCCAGATCCGTGACGTGCCTCTTCGATCGCGTGGAGTAAACTGCAAACAGGGAGGACATGTGAGGCGCGCGGGAGCATCCAGCCTTGAGCGCCGCTCCGCATCGATCTGCTGACAAAACTGCACGCCCTAGGCGGGTCGACTGACTCCGCCCCTGGCCGAACCAGTCGGGTTGGCGGACGGGCGCCAGGCGCGGGGCGCGCCAAACTCGCTCAGACGCCCGTGGGTGGACCGCGCCATCGAGGCTACGCCGAGGTGAGCCGCGGTGAGGCTGAGGCCGCGGTGAAGGTGAAGCGCTGCTCTGGGGTGGGCGGTAGGGCGCCGTATCAGCCCGTTGGCAAGTCTGAAAGATGGGTGCAGCGGTGTGATTTTGTTTTTAGTGGGTGTGGCTCAGTCCCCTGCATACTTCGAGGTACCATGGTAATTCCCCTGGCTACTAACTCCCTTGGTAATTTTCACCTGAATTGGGTTCGAAAAGCTATGTATCTGGAGGCTCGTTTGCTGGTAGAAGCCGACGCTCAGATTTGCTGGACTGAGTACTGCATGTTTTTTTCTGTCATGGGACATGACGGTGAAGTCGGCATGACATTTGCGCAGCCGCAGTCGTCTCAGTCATATAGTATCACGGTTCGATGTAAATAAATGCCCCTTGTCCATAAAAGAGTGTAGTCGGCGGAAATATCCCGAGGCTGTCCTTGTATTTTGCCATGCGCAGTGGCATTGGTTTGCTGAATAAGCCGTTTGCTGCTCCCTGTGCTGTTTTGCGGTGATGTAGCCACCGCCATGTCTCCTTCCCAATAAAGCAACTGTCATGTCCTCCCCGCTTCACCGACTGCTGTTGCTCTTTTTCTCATCTCGTATCACATAACTCTGTGGCGAGTTAGTAAAACTACGCATGTGGCCACATTGCCACATTTTCCGAGTGAGCTTTGACAAATGTTTAGCGGCATCGCATTCATTCAGGCAGTGAGCACTGCGAGGAGCAGCAGGCTACATGTGCTGCGCGCGACCTAAACCTCTGTGGCCACGGACTCTGTGACCCGGGACTCGCGGCCTGGGACTCTGCGGCCTGAGACTCTGCGGCCTGAGACCCTGTGGTGTGGGACTCGCGGCCTGGGATTCTGTGGCCTGGGACTCTGTGGCCTGAGACTCTGTGGCCTGGGACTCTGCGGCCTGGGACTCTGTGGCCTGGGACTCTGTGGCCTGGGACTCTGTGGCCTGGGACTCGCGGCCTGAGACTCTGTGACCTGGGACTCTGGCCTGAGACTCTGTGGCCTGTGACTCTGTGGCCTGGGACTCTGTGGTCTGAGACTCTGTGGCCCGGGGCTCTGCGGACTGGGACTCTGTGGCCTGGGCTCTGTGGCCTGGTACCTGGGATTCTGCGGCCAGGGACTCTGTTGCCTGGGACTCTGCGGCCTGGGACTCTGTGGTATGACCTGCCGAGATCAGCGTTGGATTGAAGTGTACGCCCAACAGTGCTGTGTGTGGGTACATCTGCGTGTAACGGATGATGAGCTGATCCGGAATTCAGGGAGCTGACTACCTGTTCCGCGCTATGGTCCTTATCTACCCGTAGTTCTTTTGGCGACAGGCGGGCCGCAGTTTAACGCCCCTCCCGCACGTGCTCTATTTCCGTGTTGGCGTCGGTGCGGGCGCGGTCACGACGGCTTCGCCGGATCGGCGTCGCTGTTTGACATTTGGCGATCGGCCTGGACCGCCACAGAGCAGCTGCGGGCGGCTCGTGCTGACCTTCCCTCACGCGACCGGCGTCCAGTCGCCCAGTCGACCATTATCGTGATTATAGCCGCCCTGGTGGTTTGGCAGCCAACTGTTGCTGGTTTGGAGGGACGGCATTGTGGAGACGTGCCTGTTGCCCGTGGGTCAAACAGCGCTGCAGCAGCACGCGGTGGCAATAGAGATTACTAGGGAAATAAGCATTATCAACAGAGATAGTGCTGAAGATAACAAGGATTACTGCGGATACAAAATGAGTCCCGGCGGTATTAAAACGATTTCGGGGAAGACGAGACGCCCAGATTTGGTGTAGGACGAAAGGAGTGACTTGTTTAGGCTTTGGAAGTTGGCACCAGTACCGGTGTCAACCCAACCTTGGCGGCCGTGGGTCTGCACCCATTCGTTGAGACTGGTGCGCTTATGACCACAATGCCGTGTTACTATGCAATCCTGCATCATCATGACACCGCTGGTGGAAAAGTCCGCACGACGAACTTTCCAGCCGCTTGCGGCAGCATGCAACTACCTGCAGATTGGCGAAATTCGAGCGAACCGTATCTGGTTAATTCTTGGATCGACCCGTCGCCTGCCGCCATTTTGTAAACAGGGTTGGAGCACACGATAGAGCTGCGTATTAGAGCTCAATATTACGCGCTCAAAATCGCAGTCTACAATCGGCAGTCTGTTGTAACAGGGTCAGGGCAGCCCAGCAAAGGGAGCATCGTGGAAGCTGCACCATCGCCGCGTCTCGCCGCGAACGGCCCGCGGGCGGCGAGCTTCCGGCGTCTCCCCTTCCCCTCCCCCTCCCGCCGCCGCCGCCGCCGGCCGACCGAGGCATGTTGCTTCGGGCCCAAGGTCAAACACCGCTGATGCAGTCGCGCAGCGCCGCGGCCTGCGTTGGCGCGCGTCGCCGACTGGCGACCGTGTAACCTGCCCTGACCGGCGGCTGCGATCTGCCCTGAACGGCGGTCATGAGCTGTCCTGACCGGCGTCCGTGTGACCTGCCCTGACCGGCGGCTGTGATCTGTCCTGACCGACGGCCGCGACCTGTCCTGACCGGCGGCCGTGACCTGTCCTGACCGGCGGCCGTGACCTGTCCTGACCGGCGGCTGTGAGACCTGCCCTGACCGGCTGCTGTGACCTGCCCTGACCGGCGGCTGTGACCTGTGCTGACCGACGGCCGCGACCTGTCCTGACCGGCGGCTGTGACCTGTCCTGACCGGCGGCTGTGACCTGTCCTGACCGGCGGCTGTGAGACCTGCCCTGACCGGCTGTTGTGACCTGTCCTGACCGGCGGCTGTGACCTGTCCTGACCGACAGCCATGAGACCTGCCCTGACCGGCGGCCGTGACCTGCCATGACCGGCGGCCGTGACCTGTCCTGATCGGCGGCCGTGAGACCTGTCCTGACCGGCGGCTGTGACCTGTCCTGACCGGCGGCTGTGACCTGTCCTGACCGGCGGCCGTGGGACCTGCCCTGGCCGGCGGTTGTGACCTGTCCTGACCGGCGGGTGTGACCTGCCATGACCGGCCTGTCCTGACCGGCAGCCGTGAGACCTGTCCTGAACGGCAGCCGTGACCTGCCCTGGCCGGTGGCCGTGATACCTGCCCCGACCGGCGGCTGTGAGACCTGCCGTGGCCGGCGGCCGTCATCTGTCCCGATCGGCGGCTGTGACCTGTCCTGACCGGCGGCCGTAATTGGTCCTCCAGTGGACTGTGTCGTCCGAAGAATCGCTCAGTGGCGACTTCTTACTCCTTCCGGCAAGGGAGATGCATTGTTTTATGCATGAGTTTGGAGTCCTGGAGCCGGCTTAATGAAGCCCTGCGCTGGAAATAGCCGACCTACAAGATAACAGGGGGTGCTGGCTAAAGAGAATGGTTAAACAACGGTGTCAAACAGCCATCAGGACGTAACGCTAAAGTACGTGACGTTTCAAGGCAGTGCTCCTAGTACCGAGACGTGCAACGGCCACATAGTGGTCACAGGACCATAAATACTGCCTTGAAAAGTCGAGTAGGTAGGGGACAGTTGGCTGAGTTGCATCTGTTTTTGCTCTGAGCTCCTTTTTGCTGTAAGTAATAAGGATAGGATTATGATTATTATATTTGGCGACAGCTATGACCATCAGCTTCATGCCTGGCATTAAAGGTTTGGAGAGCACGCATTCATTTTTCCAAATGACTTCTGAATGACTTGCTTTGAAATAAGTTTGAAATAAGCTGACTTGCCCCACTCCGGGGAAGGTTACTGGTCACTCGTATCGCATGGTGCGGGAAGTTGTGCCTAGCTTATTTTTTTGTCACATAGAAGGCTGCGTGACAAGCAAAATTGAATGCGTTACCACGCACAGACCAAATACGCTCGTCTGTGCCATTTCGTAAGTTATTTTGATTGTGACCTGACACATGTTTCCCTTTTTGTCGATCAGCTTTTGTTTTACGACTGCTGTCACCTCGTTTTCGGCTGTTCAAGTGGAAATCATGACACTATAGGTGATGTAACTGACTATTTGTTTTCTGGATGACAATTAGTCATAGTGATCATGCCAGTCAATCATTGACAGTAAGTCCGTCAATGACATATTGTCGGTACCTCGTATCATTGATACACTATTCCCCATGCACAGCTGATACAACATGTGCCGCCCGAAGTCGTGGAGGAAAGTTTGCGCCAACCCGAAATCCTCAGGAAGCAGTTCCAAATGTTCTACAGTATATGCAATAGCTGTACTTATCTACCATACATTATTGCCTTCAGATTGGTTTCATTATGCCGTAATACATTTAACACACATTTAAATAAATCGCTATAGTTTTCAGCGATATGTATGGACATGTTTGTCGCGCCCATTCCAAGATGCGTGCGCTTGCGCGGACGGACGGACGGAAAGGACAGCTGGTTTAACGCCAGCATCAGGCGGTTCGTTCGACCACAACATGGCGAAGACACCTGCCTCAGAGGTGAGACGCGCTCAAAATTACGCGTTGCAATGCTGCGTGCACGACGCAATAGCCTGCAGCAGGCGCGCCATCGGGAATAGAGAGGTCGATACAGCCGTCAGCGTCGCGAGCGGGCACGTGCCGCGTACGGCGGGTTTCCATGACGCGCGGCGTGGCGAGGGCTTAACTCCACCGGTGGCCGGCATTCTGAGCAATGCTCGACATCGACCTGGCTGCGTGAATTGAGCCATGGACGCTGCAAAAGTCACAGTCCACCAGCCGCCGCCCGTTATTGGTTCCAGCGGTCGCGGTCGTCGGCCCGGCGCCACGACACGTGACACGTTGCCACGCTGGGAGGGCGACACGTTGCCGCGCTGTGAGGGTGACAGGTTACCACTCTGAGGGTGACACGTTGCCACGCTGGGAGAGTGACACGTTGACACGCTGGGACGGTGACACGTCGCCACGCTGGGAGGGTGACATGTTGCCCAGCTGGGCGGGTGACACGTTGCCACGCTGGGAGGGTGACACGTCGCCACGCTGGGACGGTGACAAGTTGCCGCTCTGTGAGGGTGACAGGTTACCACTGTATGGGGGTGACACGTCGCCACGCTGGGACGGTGACATATTGCCCAGCTGGGCGGGTGACACGTTGGCACGCTGGGAGGGTGACAAGCACACGTCGCTGTTGCATCGGTAGCGACGACGGCGCCGATGGTGTTGCTGGTTTTGTCGAATTGGTCATGTTGACTCCCCCGGTGGCTGGGGCTGTGCCTGTCCTTCCTGATATGCGGCGCCAGCTGGCCAGCCGTCCGCGAGTTAGGCGGTTCACAGTCCACGCTGTGGACCGTGACAATCCACGCAGGCCGGGCTACCTGAGGTGAGAGCGGGAACGTACTGGTATGGAATATAAACGCACTCTGGAACTATTTGTATTCATTATGAATATATCTTATATTATATATGTATATATATGTATATATATATACATATATATATATATATATATATATATGTATATATATATGTTTATGATGTATATTATATCATATATTTGATATTTATGATATAAATCTATATTCGTTCAAACGGAATTATCTCTGGAACTCTGAGTAAAAAGGCTCTGTACTAGAGAGAGCGTACACCTGTCATCAGTCGCCAGACGAGGTCAGATTGATATCTCTGAACCCAGTAAACGGCTATTTCTGTGTGGTCCGTTTGCAAGTTTTTGGGTGAGTCTCAACCTGCCTTGGTGACCTGTTACCTCGGAAGGTGACCTGGGACCTGCCTAGGTATTTCAGAGCTACCGGATCTTTTCCGAATGCCGGGCCCTTGTCGTATTCAAAATTTGTCCCATAGTCTTCTCGTGATGTGCTAATGCGTTTGCTTTTGCTGGGGGCCTGGGCGACCCAAACACGAGGCCGCAATCGTATCTGCCTGATCGCGGTGTGTTATGAGCGTCGCGTTTCCACCGCGCGGGCGCTTGAGCGTCGCGTTTCCACCGCACGGGCGCTTGAGCGTCGCGTTTCCACCGCGCGGGCGCTTGAGCGTCGCGTTTCCACCGCACGGGCGCTTGAGCGTCGTGTTTCCACCGCGCGGGCGCTTGAGCGTCGCGTTTCCACCGCGCGGGCGCTTGAGCGTCGCGTTTTCACCGCACGGGCGCTTGAGCGTCGCGTTTCCACCACGCGGGCGCTTGAGCGTCGCGTTTCCACCGCGCGGGCGCTTGAGCGTCGCGTTTCCACCGCGCGGGCGCCGGCGTGCGGTCCGCCCTCGGGGCTCTCCATGACGCCGCTGTGCTGCGCAGCGAGCCACTCTGTCCCACTGACTCGGACCTGCCTGCTTACAGCAAAATCATGAACGTGCAGTCAGCACCCCAGGGTAACAACATCCAGGTGTCGGGCCTGTCGGGCGGTCCCGGTGCCAGGTGTTCCTCGTGCCAGGTGAGTGGGTCCGGATCAGCCTGGAGCACACGCTAATGCGAGACGAGACCAAAGTGTGGGTATGTGAGTGAGCGGGTGTGTGATGCACCACCTCGACCACGCATGCGCGGTGCCTACCGTCCGCCGGCTCGCACCACCGGCGTATCCCGTCCACCCATCCCGTTCTACTCATCCAGTCACTGATTTACTGATCATCTGATGGTCATTCACTGATCGTCTTAATGTCGTTCACTGATTCTCTGATCATCGTTCATGGGTCCTCTGATTGTTATTCAATGATCCTCTCTTTGCCTTTCACTTATTCACTGAGCCTCTCTTTGCCTTTCATGGATCCTCTAATTGTCATTCATGGATCATCCGATTGCTATTCACAGATCGTCTGATAACCATTCACAGATCCTGTGGTTGCCATCCACAGATCGTTTGATTACAATTCAAAGATCCTCCTCCGATAACCATCCACGGGATCTTCTGACTGCCATTCACGGATCCACTGATGACCATTCATGAGTCCTGTGATTTTCATTCACTGGTGCTCTGGTTATCATTCACTGATCCTCTGATAGCCATTTACTAATCCTTAATTTGCCATTCATGAATCCTCTGATGACCATTCACGGATCCTCTGATTTTCATTCCCTGATTCTCTAATTATTCAGATGCTCTGGTTGTGATTCACTGATCCTCTGCTAATTATTCACTGATCCTCTGTTTGCCATTCACGGATCCTCTATTGTCATTTACCGATCCTTGAGTTCCAACAAACTCATCGTCTGGTTGTCATTAACTGGTACTTGGATTCGATCGCCACTTTCGCCTGCGCTGACTGTTGACAAACCCGACTGGTGTATCCGCAGAATGGAGTGCTCTCCGACTCATTCACCCCATGCGGCATCGTTCTGGCCATATGCTTCTTCCCCCTGGGTCTCATCTGCTGCTGGATGATGCGGGAAAAGCAGTGCAACGCCTGTGGAGCGAAGCCGGCCATGAACCCCTAGGCGAAGTAGAGATCAGCTGGGGCCATCGGAGGTCGGCTGAGCTCAGCCGGGGTCGGCTGACCTCCGCCGAGGTCAGCTGAGGTCAGCTGAGGTCAGCCGACCGCCTGGCGGCGTCGCCTTCATGTCTGTGCCTAGGTCGGCGGCGACCGAGTGCTGGTGTCTGTGTAAGCGGCTGTCGGTTGACGACGCGTCGGGGTCTGGAAAAGGCGAGCTTCGCGCTCCCCGTTGCTGAGGACGCTAGCCCTGGTTTGCGCGAGTGTTGGCTAGTTTTGCGATCGTTTTTGGTGATTAAAGCCATGGGATGGCACCAACCAGCTAAAGGCCGAGGCTGTTGCCAGCTTTGAGTATTCTTGTAGTGACTGCATGTTTGTGAATCCTGTGAGCATCGCCCCTCTTTTAATCTTAGAATAGTTTCGTTGTGGATCCATCATGATCACCAAGTGATTTCGCATCATGCTTTTCCTAAAGCCTGGGCTTGAACTTACGTGTGTTACATCAACTGCCACGTTCATTGGCGCGTATTTTGCACTATTGATAGAGTTCTTTGCGTGGTCGTCGCGATTTAATGTACTGCTATTTTATGCTGTTGACGCGATTACAAATCCAAGGACCTCTTAGATATTTGGCTGTCTAAATGCATGGCAAGTGTGAAAATATGTTGTAATGGTCACAGGAAGTGTTTTAACGTCTTTGCATTGCCATTGGATTACGCTGCCGTCCCTAAATACACACGTACAAACGTAACATGTTATGTGCGATAACTCGGCAATGCTCCCGTTAGTGCAATGCACTGAGCTATTTTAACACAGTGAGAAAATGCAAGAATACAGCAGATTACGGGCAGAACGTGACGGGGCAACTGCCCGACCGTGCAGACTGAAACGGGTAATTACAAACTAAGGATTAACGGCGAAAAACGAACTGATCACATTTCCGCGGCCAACTTGGTCATTATATATTCAACAAAGCTTGAATATTGCCACCAGTCTGCCTTTCTGTACACCACTGGTGTTAAGCGACAGTCGGCGACCTGAGGAGGATACTTCCCCAGTCTCGAAAGTCTCAGGATCCCCAGGAATTCCGTGTCGGGCTCAGCGATGTCGCTCAACAACTGGCTTCCAACACGGGAAGGCACCAACAGTCGACAAGAACGCCATGCCGTGTAAAACCGGCATCCCGAATGGCCTGCTGACCACCGGTCTTCTCACCGCGGCATCATCTCCAAGACAGGCAGTAGCAGCAGTTCAACTGCTCTGCTGGGCGGCCTGGGCCACTCAGCAGAGCTCAACTCACTGGGACACGTATTAGCCAGAGGCAGTGGCCGGCGCGCGACCTTGACAGCTCCAAAACGGTGTGCCGCTTCCCCCCCCCCGCCCCCCCCCCCCCCACCCCCATCCCCTGGCACCACCCGGAGATTGCATTCAGTGGGCCTCGCACCCAGAACATACCGATCAGTCCCCGATTGCAATCTGACTAGATCTGAGGAGCTTCGCTTCTTGGCCACGCTCTGGGAGCTAACGCTGTCCCCGTAAGTGCTCCGCCGGGGCTTCCGCAGCAGACTAGTGACGCTGCGAGCGCGGGGTAGACCGCGGCGCGGCGCCGGGGCGGTGTGACGCTGTGCCGGGCCGCCATCCGGGCTTAGCGCGATGGTCTGTGGCGCTGGGCAGGGCCGCGCTGGGCCATCCCTACCCCCCCCCCCCCCCCTCCCCTCCCAACGTCCGTCCTGCAGGCTCAGCACCCGGTCCGACGGCCGCAGCTGCACTCTACGTCACGCGTGCAGGGGCGGGCGCAGCGCGGCCATGGCGGGGTGCTGCGGCGGGCCGCCTCGGCGCCGGGAAGAGCCAAGGCCGGGCCAGGCCGACTGTCAGCGGGCTGACTGCAGTGGGTAAGGGGTGTTCGCCTTGTTTCCTGATCATGGCCTGAAGAGGGATCGCCCAAACAGCCCGTGACGCTTGAGACGACATGCTGGATGACCGGTCCAAATAGCTCGTTTTGTCGTGCCCTTTTCGTTACAACGTACTTGAGCAAACCTTTTGCCTGGACGGTGTCCACACTGCAGACTTGGAGAGACTGCCGATCAAACCCGGTAGTAGGTACGGAAGTGCTCGCATCCTTTGGCATGTCAGCGAGTAAGTTTGACTTTGTCTGTAAGAAGGCATGACTCACGGAGTCGTCGCTGGAACCTGAGCGTCGAACTACCGCTTGTGCTTACCGCAGTTATGAACCATCTGCTTATGGGCTTCCTGATGGGATTCGCGAGCACGGCGCGCAGTAGCGCGGGCAGAGGGGGGAGGGGGGAACGTGCCCCTTCCCCGTAGGTTCCGAAGGGGCCCGAAGGACCCCTCGAGACCTATGATTAGGGGTCCGGAAGGCTAGCCGGAGGTCGTTTTCGGGGCCCCAACCCACAGGGCCGTGTACGCTAATGCCAGCCAGCGGGCCCCGCGCGTTGACCAGGGGCCCCCGAGTCGATGAGGGCCTATATGTCGGTTAGACACCACCAGTAATATACAGTAGTCTCTGTGGCGATATGCGCCTGATTGTCCACTTCCCAAGCAGGGACAAAGCTGGGGCCAGCGATTTACATTGTTCGGGGTTCTTCTCCTGTCAGGGCCTCACAGAGCCTAACGGAAACCCTGTGTCGGCAAGAGGCCCTGATCCGGCCAGAGGTAATGTTTGAGGAGACCTGAAGGGAGCTTGGGGACCCACCGGGACAGACGATCAAGCGCCCTCCCTGTTGAAGGGCATAAGGACCTGAAAGACTGGCTGTAGGTTGCAATGAGAATCATGGCTTGTGGGGCCGTGACCTGAAATACCAGTCGATGGTCTTTTATAAGGGCCCTGTTATCAGAGTCATCGATCCCTATTACATAGGACCTTGACACGCAGCCAACAGTCAGCTCCATGCCCGTCTGAGCCTTGGAACCCATTTTCAAGCAAGAACGAGGCCTTGGTCCACGATTTGCAATGTTTGGGGTTCCTGACACTACGAGGGGTTCCTGTGTCAGTCGGGGGCCTACAGTTCTTAACTGGTGTCCCCGAACCCCGAAGTTTGTGGTTTGTTGCCGATAAAGCCTGCTTACCGGAGCCAGAATCGTTGGCGGGCTGCTGAAAAATGCCTTTTTCTTGTCGGGCGCAATCTCGTTAAAAGTAGGTAATATGATATGTAAGTGCTTCATATGATATTTTGTTGGACTGGACAAAACTGTTATTGATATACGTACCTAAATTATTACCAGGCAGATGTTTGCGATATCGCAAGAAGTCGAACCAAACAATGGGTTTTGTGGGAAAGACGAATTAGTAGATGGATTGCATGTAAAAACTCCTAAATAAATATGATTGGTCTGCATCCTGCAGACTCGATTAGCGACCAATTCCATTGGCCCTGGCGGCGGCGGCGGCGGGACTGGACGAGTCCTGTATCCCGGCCGGCGCCGTCGGCTCGGTCGGCCGTCGCTGGCCGCTGTTGGTTCAGGGCGGCTGCAGCCTCCGCGCTGACGAGCGGAAAGGCGACGCCGGCGCGCGCGCGAGGTCAGACGCGCTGGCCGCGCCACCGGCGAGGCCAGGCCCGCTCCCCAGGGCCACCGGCACAGCTGCGTCGCCGCCGCGGCCCCGCGCCTTGCCGTACATTTCTGCACAACTGCTGGTCGTGGAGGGGGCGCGGATCGGAGTGCCCACTGACTCATCGGAATGGCATCTGTTCCCGGCGCGTATGTGCGTTGGAACTTGCCGGGAGGCCCCGGCGGGGGATTTCTCGCAGCCGGGTAATCCCCCTGGCTCCCCGAGGGCCCGCGCACGACTGAACTCCGTTGGTCGGGCCGTGACGTCACAGTCCCCTCTTCGGCGATTGGCTGATGGTGGCGGCCGTTGGAGTACCTGCGACTTTCCCATGAGTGTGTCATGCCATGCTGGCTGATAGAGGATGCGCTGTTGGCATGCCGTAGGCGGATCCGGGGGGGGGGAGGGGGCACGGAGCCATAGCCCCCCCAAAAAACTCTGAGAGTTTGTTTGGCCCCCCCAAAACATTCCCAGAACTTCATAAAAGTTTCGTCTACTTACCGTCTGTTTTAACTAACTTTTAACTGCTTTGTTTTAACTTCTGTTTAAGATTCAAAAACATTTCAGTGCTTTTTTCGGTTTTGAATGGTGCCCCTACCAGGTACTCGCGAGAGGCACCATGCACTGGACCTCGGATCCCACACCAGCCAGCTGGCGACAAACGGTTGCCCCCCCCCCCAAAAAAAAAACAACTCCAGGCTAAATCCGCCCCTGTGGCATGCATACAACTTCGGGCTTATTGGTGCGTCACTTCTTGCCGTTCCATGCCATGTGCTGGACGGGCTACTCCGCGGGAGCTCTGGGGGCTTAATAACCGTAGCTTAATCGCCGTCAATTGCAGCATGCGTTTTCTATGAGATGATCAGCTGGCCGTTGTGTGCCCACACACACCAATTTACAGGTGTGCTGAAACGTTGGGTGTAATCTTCATGGGTATGTTTACGAAGATCAAGATCAACAGAGTCTCCTAACTTACAGGTGATGTGAGTAGACCAAAAATAACAATAAATACCACGTGCACAGCATAAATACACTCATATGGTCTACATCTTCGGAAACACTGATTATATCGGCAAAGCTATCAGCTTTCTTCAGAAGTGCTCAGCTCGGTGCCCTGTAAAAAGGCCGGATCTCACGGTATTAACCCATGCCCGAGAAGCCTCGACAGCCTCTGTGCGCAGAGTCATCGAGGAGGCAGGTGCAGGGAGATGCATCGCAAGAAGTCGCATGGGCATAATATTGCTGAAAAAACGTTTGAAATGAGAAGGTCATGCTGCACGCCCCGTGACCCTACAGAAGAAATCCGAGATGAGGCAAGAGATCTTGTACGAAAGAGGCTGGAAATGTCCGGAAGAAGTACGAGTTCGAGTCCGGATGAGGACTTTGTGTTGCACTCAGTCGACCCGCCTTGTGACGGAATGGCACGAATGACCATTGCAGTTGACGCGTCCTTTAAACCCGATAGCTGACTCACTGTGTGGAAATCGACCAATGATGTCCGGATGGCAAAGCAGTACTCCAAAATAGAGCGAACGTTTGCAACATGGCTCGAGAGGCCAACGCGCTCTCTCATACAAATCCGAGCGTGCGTTTGAGAATTATGAGGAAGGTAAAGTCCCCACCTCTCCCCTCGGTTTGAAACATACGAATAAGCTCTCCGAATGATCGGTTGGCTTGGCTGGACTGCCTCGTCATATGAGCAGCCCGCTTTTAGGATCCGCCCCGTGTCTGAAGCCTTTTCCTCGAGCGGCCAGTCTGATGACGTCATTGTCTCACCAGCTCAAGCCTGCCATCTCGCGGAGCGTCCGCTCACCAACCGACCCGCCGGCGTCCTCTGCGGCCGGCGCGGCCAGCCGGCCCCCGGTCGCGTGTCCTCGAGGCGGCCTGCAGTAACAGCGCACGCTCGTTAATCCTCGTGAACGGTCTGCTGGTCGGCCCAGACGCTCGTTGGGGCTGGGTGGTGACTTGCAGGCCACGGGTCGGCGTCGCGGCGCCGCTGCGACCACAGCTGCAACTGCGCCATGGAACCGCTGCCTGGCGGTTGGACGCGATAATCGACCTGACCTGACCTGACCTGACCTGACCTGAACTGACTTGACCTGACTTCAATGGACTGGAATGGAATGGAGTGGAGTTGACCTGACTTCACATTCGGCCCTCTGTCCTCATTCTCGCTTCCTCTTGCGTCCTCGCTGCGCGTCCGTT